CATGTTGATGATCTGGAAAAGTTCCAGTGTTGCTGCGGACGTTCTGTTGAGTAGGGTGGAGACTGGTCCTTGATCCTTGGCGTTAATATGGACGGTCTTGTCACACGTTGCTGCTTTGTGTTTTAGCTGCACCTGGGACTTGCCGACGAGAGGTAGTGGCTGTTTCGAGCCGTATGCGAAGATGTGCTACCCAGACGAACTCGCGGCTGGTGTTGGGGATAGCTGAGCAAAGGCAATCTGTGCCATGGTGTCCACAGTAGAGCCAGAGTCTATGATAGCAAGCACACTATCATGACAGCCATACGTGACTTTGGTTTGAGGAAGTTGCGGAGTTGTGTGGTAGACTTGGAAGATTGACTCTTTCGAGGGTGCAGCTGTGAGATTGTGGATCTTCCGCGTGTTTGGTCTGTCACAGTGACCACAGACCCTGTTGTCTTTGGGTTGTCGCTGTTGCAGGTGCGACTTCGTGTGCGGTGCCTTCTTGACGTGCAATGCCACTTTATCACCAGCACGGAGGTCTTTTATAATACATTTTGCGTGAAGGTCCGCAATTTCGATGGTGTGCGTATAGTCCAACAACTGTGAGAGGGTCATGCCAGGTTTGGACGGTATTTTACGACGCAGTGAAGTTGACGTGCAGGTCTGGATTATCTGCTACTTGGTCTCACCGTCAGTGTCGGTAAACCCGAATCTTCGCGCGATGTCGCGTAGGCGTGCATGGTACATTGCGATGCTCTCACCTTCAAGCTGGCGTTCTTGACGAAAAACGAATCGTTCATGTTCAATGTTGCTACGAGGCTCAAATAGCCGAGTTAAAACTTGTATGGCGCTCTCAAAGTCGTTGATTGCAGCGGCCGGATGTCCCGTAGCGCTGGCAGTCGTGGTTGGGCTAGACGGTTGTGAAGCTCTGGGTTCGGGCACGTCATACGACGACTCAAAACTGTCGTTTACATCCTCGCCGGCGTAGTGCAGTAGCATTGCTTTGCACCCTGCCGGTGCGGTGACGTTGCAGACGGCGAGACAGTTTCTGAAGCGTGCCATTCATTTTTTCCAGCGTGTCCCAACTGTTAAGCGGTCCTCATAGACGGTGAAGGCTGGGAAATGCGGTAGGATCGACATGGTCCGGCGTGGCGCGGTGAGTGCGGCCCTCGGAACGGCGCAGCATTGTTGCCTTTTTCCTCGTCGCCAATGTAGTGGTTTGATGCATGTTTGTTAATTGTATTTAACTGGATTACATCTTGATGAACACAAGGCAGATAGTTCCATTCTCCACGTCCGGGATTCCATACGTGCATGCATCATCGTCCTAATGATGTCGGTCACAATCGTTCTGCTGGAGTTTTTAGATTCGAAACTGAAACAGAACACTATACCGATGTCTTCTTGTCCAGTGAGGGATGCGCAGGTGGGTAGCGCAGTCTCGCACTGGTATAGTGGTCAAAGATGCCTCTGAACGTGGACAGCCTGTTGATTCCCCCGTCAACGATGTAGTGGAGGGGTCCAACGGTATTTTGGCTCGGTTAGCAAGTTCTCGGGTCGCGCTGTGAGCCTCCTCGTTGCCGGGAAGCGACGAGTGTGCTGGCGTTTAGATTAGCTGTGATTTTTTTTTTTCACAGCTGCCCAGGACTCTGAGGGTGATCGGCGAGATTCTCCCGTTGGCAAACTGGCGAATCGCTTGTTGCGAGTCGCTTACAATGATGCGTGCTTCGTCGGTCTGGGTCGCTAGGGCATGGCCACCTTCTCGGAAACTTCTGGTTTAAACGTCTTGATGCTGTGCTCGTTATCACTTCTCCTTGCTTATTGACGACGGCTGAAACCGTAGAAAATGTTTTCGAACCAGAGTAATTATAAAAATGGTGCAATACATTTTTTTTTAATTCGAGTAACAATCGGGTATAACCCAATTTAAAAAAAAAATGTTAGGCGTGTAGAGAGACAGAGAGAAAGGTAGGCGTTTATTAAACAATGATGTCAACCAGTGCTTAGTGCTGGTTTGCTAGATTGTGAAATGAACGGAAGCGAAAATCGTAAAAATAGAAGAAAGGTAAACAGAAAAAGAGAGAGGGAGAAAGCACACAAAACCAAAGTATTAAAATATAAATAATTAAAAAAAAATAACGAATTACTGGAAAATGTTATTGCCCATTGCTGCTCATCTACTCCTTTACAGTTTCTTCTGTAAGCGAGTAGCTGTTAGAAATTTCGGCAGAGCTTTCGGGGCTTTATTCCCTTCAGCAGCAGAAATCCACGCACCAAGAAGAATACGAATGTTTTCCTCTTGTTCATTTTGTGCCCTCAGGTCTGTCCTATAAGCTCCTTTTCACGGCTGTACTCCTTGCATTCACACAATGCATGTTCGATGATATGTACGACCCCGCACGAAGCACAGTCAACTAGGGGTATAAATATCGGGAAAAGGCGGATTTTACCCGGAAAAAAAGGACACCGTAACTGTACCCTGTTTCATATAACACTATCAAACTGCTGGCGCGAGCATGGGATTCCATATCGCAGACGATTTGCACGCGTTCTCATGCAGACGAAACCCTAGATGAAGATACGCTCTTGCGCCAGTATAGACGCTTTACACACGCGCCAAATTACAGCCGCCATTGCTGACCTTCTCTTGTCTTACCGAGATGCCGAGCAACTGAAACGGTAGTTGACGATCCTCTACAAAGGCCGATGCTTCAGAAAAGGACACAGTTGAATCTAATATGGCAATAACTTGGCCTGCTATGGTAATGATGAAGTGAAATAGACGTAATAAGAGGAGACAAAAACTGAAGGTCAGTTATGGCGGCGTCCACGCACAGCTGCTCCAAAGCGTCTATAGCTTTGACAGCGTTGTATACTAAAGTCACTAGATACAGGGAAAGGTAGCGCGGGTGCATGCTATATTGGTGCATAGAATGAACCGTTTCTCGTTGTCCTCTTCATTCTTTGTGAGCCGATCCGAACACGCTGTGACAGGCTGCTTCGTAAAAACATCTCTTGTATGCCGAGATTTCGATACCCACACACGCGCGAAACACAACTTCGCACCGCCACCACACGCGGCGTTGTTGCTTGGCGGCGTTGAAGAATCATTTGCCCGTCTTGAAATACGCGAGAGAAAAACAAACAAACAATATAATTGTAGAATGTCTGCGGAGATAAGCATAACTGATTAGCTGATTCGCTCTGCCAAAGACGCTTATTTTGGCGAGGAGTCCCTTTAGTACCCCGGAGCAATCTTGGCGCGGCTTCTTCAGAACCTTGCCAGGTTTTGGTCGTCTGTATGTTAGTGCGTTACGGACGGGCCTATGAGCTCGCTCCCTCAATCGCCTATATTTCCTCTACTACATCACCTACACACATGCGCGCTTGTGTTCTGCTATCAAGCAGGGAAGGTATACATAGTGGCTCTTTACTTTTCCAGGACCCAGTCACTTGAGCATATAATATACGTGCCGCGTTGCTTTTAAGAGTCATTTTAGGGGGATCGGTGACAGAGTGGTCAAGCGCACACCAGCTCGGAGCACGGGGAGCAAAAGCTCTCGCTGCAGAACCCAGGCATCCTGGGTTCAACCCTCACCCCTGCCCGTTTCGATCTGGGTGGACATCGTACCGGCGTGCGGTCGTGTATCATTAGTGCGCAGTGCATGTTAAAGACCCAGGCTAGCTGTTGTACTGCACTGGCTAATACCGGTGCCACACGGGCAACTCGAATGCCATTTACAACGAATGACATTCGTGTGATCGGCGAATCAGCTCGCGATCTGTCGCGCGTGGAATACGCTACACCCGGAGTGTCGCGCGCTGATTGGCCGTCCGCTCAAATGTCATTCGCTGTAATGGCATTCGAGTTGCCCGTGTGGGCATGGGTATTAATTTCTCATCTACAGCTGGGAGACAAGTCGCCTGCTGAGGCAGACTAAGTTTTAAACTGTGTAAACATACACACAACCCCCCCCCCCCTTTTTTTTTTTAAGAATGATTTTGCTTCGGAAGTGGCATGTTCGTAAAACGGAGGGTATGGCGTACATGAATGTGGGACTAAAGTCTCGAGTCCCGTATTTATCATGCATACATACGAGCATTCTTACCAATCGGGAGTCGTTAATTTTTTATCACATTTATTGGCCAAATGCTCGTAAGCGTGTTTTTTTCTGTTTCATGTCTGCTGAACAGCAAATGCAAATTTTTTACTTAAAAGCGATCGGCAGTAACAGTAATGCACAAAGTTAGTATATTTCAGGAGTAGCTATCGATGCTATATAGGCGTCTTGAATTGAAGTCACATTGGAGACCTTGTTGCTTAGCACGTGTACCTTCTGTGGCATAAACTTCGCACCACAAAATTGGTCTTTCTCGGCCAGCACGAGGAGAAATGACCACCAGCAGGGTGCGACGACGTCACGTGGAAGCCATGTCTGGTAGGATACAAGTTAATAGACCGATCTCACCAAGCATTCCACGCACGCGTGACGCCGCCATAACTGTAGTTCGGAGGAGGCAGACGCCAGTTCACGAGACGGCTCATGCCGCCTCGTGCTCTGCTCGCGCGAACCTAGAGCAGGGTTGTCGCGCGTGAGAAAGACTACAGCTCCCACGATGCATATCGGCAGCGGTGGCGTACTCAAACTAGCTGGTGAGATCGGTCTATTGTATGCACCAGAAGCTCAGCCTTCAGGGCTATACTTCGTTTCAGCTTCGGTCCAGACGCAGCCGATGCTACAAGCGCGAGCATGTGGCCCAGAACAGTGCTTGCGCTGCACGAGAGCGCGTGCTTGGCAGGGATGCTGAAAGCCCAGAGCTCGCGCTTGTAGCTCTGGCCGCGTCTGGACCGAAGCTGAAACGAAGTATAGCTTTCCAGCTTCGGTAATACTTCGCGGTATCGTGTACCCGCCCAATCAGAGCACGACTGAAGGCAACGTGCAAGTGGAGTGCTGGAGGCGGAGCATTAGGAGCATTTCTCGCTCGTACCTTACTCTATAAAAAAGTACTTCACAATAATGTCAACATTTCTATAGCTTTTATTTTAACTTATTTTGCATATTGCTTACACACAATTAAGAGCCAAATGTACGCAAATTAAGTATTTATTTGCACTTAAACTTTAAACAAATCCAAGTATAAAAAATTATTGGCTTTGTGGATACCTCGAACATGCAGAAACATTTTCCAGCAGCAGAAGACGCTACAACAGTTTATTAAAAAACAAGAACGAGCGCGGGGAAATTCGGATGTGAAGGTACAAGTACACATTTGTATGCGGGTGTAAATATTGCACATTAAACATTGCTCGTTCGAAGTCGACTAGACACAGGCACTTTTCAGTTGTCCATCTCGAGAAAAACGCAAAAATAAGTTATAGCATCCGGAGCTTACAGTACGACCATCCGTAGCTTATTCGACATAGAAACCTTCCAAAAGTGAGCGACTCCTCCTCATAGCTTCGAGAACACTGCAAGATGGCGATATAACCAACACCGGGGAACATGCCCTTATACATATAACCAAATAAATTCGCTGAGAACTTTATGTATCAGGGTGTCTTTTTTTTTTTTTTTTATAGTGAAGCCAGATTTTTTGCTTTTTTTTTAAGGAAAACGCGTGATTTTTTTTAGCGCCGCATTTGACGTCAGCTGCGTGAAGAATGCCTAAAGCGGAGAAATCGACGTCACTAACGCTCTTTGCCGACTTAGTTTCGGTTTGACGCCATGTACAAGGTTAACATTTCTTGGCCCTTGGCGCCCACTACAAATATTTTATTAAAAATTTTACGACACGGCTCCACGGTATGTCTAGCTTTAATCCTCCGACTACATTTTATCAATAAAAACATTTTAAAAAAGTGAATTAAATCGTTTCAGTTAACTAGCTTACCACTTATCCAGTTTCGATTATTATCTAATGGCTTCCATGGCCACTAACCTAGCCCTAGGGATAAAAAAAAAAACACCTAACTCAAGCTTCTTTTTTTTTTTTAATTATGGTAAAACACCCTGAATAGGGTATTTTACTTTAAAGTGAGCTCAATGGCGTCTTTTGAGCACTATACCCTGCAGTGTCCTTAGATCTCGAAGAGGGCTAAATTGTGAAAGGTTCTACAAGAATAATCTTACAAGCGTCTAAACTCAGTCTTACGTGGCACACCTTGGGAACCCCCGTATAACGACAACTCCAACAAACAGGAAAATAAAATTAGTTTGAGAGGATCAAAGTTTTAGAGCTTCGTTCGTGTGAGCTTCTAAATTCAGCTTGTCATCGATGGGTCTGTAGGCTGCCTCTTGAAGCTCGACCACCTTGCCTCGTTCAAGATCTCCATCTGCAAAAATACAAAAAAATAAAAAAAGAATTGCAAAACGTGTTACGACATTTTTTGCACACCTGGAAGTTGACGACTATACTTCGAGCTGAAAAAGTAGCGACGATCGTACTTTCTCCGTAGAAATTTGTCTGAGAAATTTCCCATCATCAGAACTCTCGCCGGGACGTGAAAACGCCGTACTCAGGCTGGAATGACTAGTGATTAGGCGGCGCAAAGCCTTTGTCTCCATACCAGTGCTGGAACGCGCCAGGAACGCGGCACTACGGCGCCCAGCGCTTGGGCTTCTTCGCGTTTGAAACGCGTTCGACGAGTACAGTGGAGAACAAAGGTTTTGCGCCCATCCACAATTCATACCCAACTGAAGCGCTCGGCGTTTCGACATCCCTGCGGTTCTTATTAAGCGATGAGTGACTCTATGTGGCGAGCAAGTCGTCTGCTTCTTGCAAAGGAGTTGCCGTGACGTCAGAACGATGCCGGGCTCCGATTGGTTTTGATCGAAGGATAGTGGGTAGTGTTTTTTTGTGTTTTTTTTTTCAATCAGCCAATAAGAATTTGGTGTTTTGACATCATTGCAGCCCCCGTGCAAGAAGCAGACGAACTTATAGTAGAGCGTCATATCTTGGCGAAAGTGCGTGAGGATGAGACGGAACCACGCGCGCTCGTGCAAGAGGTACACCTTTGAAAGCGTTTGGTGTTCGGGGGCTTGACGCCCCGCGTTTACCTATACTTACCATTCCAGGTAGCTTAAATGGTACGATAAATAGAAAGGCTGATATTAGAGATTCGGTTTTGATCGGTGAGATTCGGTATAATGAGACTATGGTTTCTTGTCGTGTTCGTAGTTATTTATCGACAAATCGGAAAACGTTATTTTGTATACGTTGCAGCCGAGAGCGGAATAGTGTCGTAACAAGCGCTAAAACACACACAATAATAAAAGAAAACAAAAAACGTTTGGCTGTCCCGGTTTAAAAATGTATGTTGGTGCTGAAGTACGGTGGTTGTGCGGAGAGAGAGAGAGAGAGAGAGAGAACTGTGTTTTTTCGCACGGCAAAAATAAACTATACGCACTGCCGAGCGCTCAATCTCCGCCCCAATGTACAGCAAGTTTTAGAACTAACGACCTGATCTTAGCGAATTTTGAAATGGTTAAGGTCGCGTTCGCCTTTCGTCTCGATGTATTCGCGGGCTTCGTTGGTAACCATTTTCTCTTTGGAAATTTCTTAAGATCTTGTATAAATTTTGAATCAGATAACGGTCATTTCCGAGAGAATGACGCCGGATCCCAAGCGCCATAGCACTGCGTTCGGGTGGAGAGTGAGAGTTGGTCGATGTGTATAGACCTTTTCCACAAGGGCGCCGCCATCTTGAATTGTCGTCACTTCCAGTATGGGCGACGAAAAAAAAGTAAAACGTTTCAACCTGTAACTAGTAAAAAAATAGAGGCGAGCCAAAACGAGAATGTGTGACGGTTAGGCTTATATCCTAAATGTCTTCTATTGGCGTGGCAACGGCAAAGTTACGTTTTCGCCCATACTGGAAGTGACGTCAATTCAAGATGGCGGCGCCCTTGTGGAAAAGGTCTATAGTTTTATTTCCCAAAAAACAAAACTCTTTTTTTTTTTTAAACACAAGGCATAGTTAAAATGGCAAACACCAGTCTGCGCAACTCTGGAAAAAGTTTGATGAAGTAATAAGGTATAATATCCGGTCTTTGCGTCTAAACGAGATAGAATTATATTTTCAAGCTTGTCTGTATGTTCCCAAAACCTGCTGCCACTCTTTTTGCTACAGTGCAACGTGAATTCAGCGAGACTCGAAAATGTTTGTGATAACGATTTGAGTTCTTCATCGTTTGAATCAATAGTAGAACGAACGTATATAAGGCTTTTGTGATTTTTGGGCGGGCACGGGGCACCCCACAAAGGTATTCTGAGTTTGATATCCTAAAAAGACAATAACTAACCAGATTTTAGAAAGTTCACATCAAATAGCGCGCCTCTATTCGCCACATTCGTAGCCTAGTTTGGTACTTGAACTGTAAGAAGTTAGCATGGAAACCTGTAGCTTTGACGTCATTTTGGTTCTTTTTCAACTGTAAACGTTAGACAACACACAGAAACCGCTCAATGATAATGCACTGCTAATGGCGATACTTCGTTCCACGTAACACAACCTCCTGTACTTAGTAACTATGTACGAGGACACTTTTACCCAAGTACTTTGGCGGTTTTGGGTAGATAGCATATGAGTAATGGTACAAGTTTATATACATTTTTTTCACAGAGTCTTGAGCACTCGATAGCCATGCTGACAGTCTTCATAATGGACAATGACTTTCAGTAATTCAGAGTTAGCCCAATTTGTCTCAGATACACTCACACACACAAAAAGGTTCAACGAAAAAAAAAGTGAGACGTAGATAATGAGTTCTTCAAAAACTGTCTCCTGCAGCGAAGTCTTTGACGTCAGTTTGCACATGTAAAACAGTTTTTTTTTTCGCTCTTCGTGTGTCGTTACGGTGGTGAAAAAGAGATGTTCACGGATGTTTTCGAACATGGCCGTCCTGGAACCAATGTAGAAGTTACCGGCTTGCCTGGAGAAAGATGAGAAAAAAAAAGATAAAAAAGCTTCTTTATATATTAGTTTTAAGAAGTCATTTTATAGTGGCACGTGATTCAGTAACTAGCGATGTTAAGTCAATAACTAAACCTAACTAGTTGCTACTTGTGATAGAAGAAAAGACGAGACTCAGGCTTACAATATTTCGTAGCGTGAGGAGCTGACCGTTGTATAGGACGTGAAACCAATTATGTGTCCTGTACATTATCTGAGCATCTTGTTATTATTCAAATGGCTCCATCTGCGCTTTTCTTATGGTGGTGAGACTGTTGACATATCTAACCAATTTGTTCATTACGCTTCATTTTTCTTCCTTCTTTTGTCTTTTGTTTTGGAGCACGCTTGAAGGACCGTCTCTTGGAACAAGCTCGTAGTGATAACTGTGCTGGCGGAATTTCGGTACCGAATATTTCTTTGTGTTTCTCCCGTGAGCGCGTGCTGTCGCCATCGGGTACTATTGGAAAAAAAAAAGAAGAAAAGGCATCACCCTTAGCACAAGGGCACTGACTCACCTTAGGTGTGACCAGACAGGATCGAAAACGTTACACAACATAAGCAATCTATCTTAAGAACGGAATGCCGCATTAATAGAGGAGGCAGATTGATAAGGCTTTCTTTGTGCCATTGTTCATGCGGACATGCCATCTTGCGGAGCTGAACTCCTGCGACTGTACATTTGGAAGACCTGCACGCCGCTCGGGAACATGGGCGTAGTTGTTCACTGGTTGCCCTAGCATACGAGCGCGAGCTAAACTCTGTTCATCCAAGTTGAGACAGCAGCAAAAGCTACAAACGCGAGCTAGCCTGTATATGTGGCTTTGAGACGTGACTCGAGAGATTGTACTGTGGGAAAACGCTCTTAAAACGCGGTATCCATGCTGCTTGCAACGTTAGAGAGTTTTCGCACACCGTTTATCGCCCCCCTTTACGCCCTTCGCAACAAAGACGTCGCTACCGAACATGCGCTCCGCTATAGCGTTGTCTGCGGAGTTCCGAATCTCTAGAAGGGCAGTGTGTACTTAGGCTAATTGGTGATTTATTGTATAGTATAAAAGCGGTAAAAAGACGACGGAAAGCGCTACTTGCAACTGTAGTTTAACAAAGAAAAAAAAAATAACGTATACACCGGGATATTAAAGAAACACGTCACCCAGGCAGAAAAATGCCTCGTCAATCTATATCTTATCACATTAATGTTTTCTGCTCAAACGATGTTAAGCGTGCCACATCAACCAAACAATGTTATCGAGGGGGCCCTGACGCACGTGTCCTCATCGCAGTGTGATATAACAAACGCCTCCGATATTTCTCTCGTAACTTTTTCTGGCCCGAAACAGGAACGAAATGACAAGGGAAATATCAGACCTTTTCTTCGTTCTTTTTATAACGCAGTGCGACGAGGGTTTGTGTGTTAGCGCCCTCTCGATAACATTGGCTCTGAGGTGGCGTACTTAAAGTCGTTTGAACGGTAAACACTAGTATGATAAAATGTATAGTGACAACGCACTTTGCCTAGGTAACATGCCTTTTTGATATCACGGTATGTCTGTTTTAGTATTACTAAACTTGAGTTGCAAATAGCGCTTTGTGGTGTTCGCCGTCCTTTAACTTGTTCATCGTCTTTTTAGCGCTTTTATCCTATACAATTCCAGATCTCCTAGCAGGTTCCAGAAAGCGTTGCGAGACGACAGAAATGAGCCACGACAATCCCCCATTAACCCCCTTTCGAAAGTCACGTTCCGATTATTAGAAGGTCCGAGAACCACTGCACAGCGGCGGAACAACTGACACCCGTGGAACGTGCAAGTCATTCTACAAGATAACGAACGCCGGGGTGCGGCCAACGTTAAAAACCAACGAGCCAATCAAACAGCCTCAAAAGTTGTAACGTCACTGCGCTCATCGCTCATCATCTTTTTTTTTCTGTGGGTGCGTTTCTGCCTGTATGTAGGCCGTTTACAAGCGTGTGTCAGCATGTGTCTACGCCATGTAACAGAGCGTTTGGAGGATCCAAAAATCTAAATTAAATAAACAACGAAATTCAGTTTTCACTTACAGTGCCCTATCAAAACGATAAAAATGCTTTTCTGGTAGATTTTGTTACTTTTTTTTTTCTCACAAATTTATATTCATGAATAAAATTCTGCTAGCTTAGCGTTCGCGAGCAACTTGAAAGAGCGCAAAGACGGCCAATCAAAACGCGACAGGAAAAACAAAAAAAAAAAAAAAAGAAAGAAAGATCGATTTTGCTTCTAAGAAGCGCCGCGCAAACATGAGAGCTATACAGGCCTTTTGGCTGCGGTCTCAGCTTAAGAGAAACTAGAAAAACAGGGCCTGGCTCTCCGCGTTCGAGCGCCAGACTGTGCGCTAGGAGC